TTATCCAGGTGGGCACAGTATAATCAGAAGCATCCTTGTAAATGATGGTCAGGGAATAGAAACAGATGTTAAGACAGAAGTAGGAATTTAGAGTGATACAAGCAAGGGGCCAATGAGCCAAGGAATGTAGGCAGCCTCTAGAAGCAGAAAAGGCAAGGAAACAGATTCCCTCCTGAAGGAATGCAGCTCTGCCAACACCTGATTTTAGACTTCTGATTTCCAAAACTGTAAGAGATTAAAATTGAATTGTCTTAAGCCAACCCATTTGTGGTCATTTGTTACAGGAACAATAGGAAACTAATAATAGGGTACCAGGGCATTAGAAGCTTGAGGGCCATACTAAATAACTAAGAATCTACCCTGAATGCATTGAATTTTTATAAGCTTAGAATGGAAATAAATTAATGTTATGAAGATGAATTATATTGTTACAGTTATTCAGTTATCTGAACCATTGTGGTAGCATTGAGAATGGAGCCAAGAGGCAGGTATTCTAGGATTCTAGGAAGGATTCTAGGATTCTAGGAAGAAAATTGTAGAAACACCTAGAGACTATCTCTGAGGAACTCAGAAAAGCAAGAAAGATTCAAAGAGCATACCTAAATTATGAGTGTGAGAGGTATAACTGAGAGAACAATGTAGGTGGAATAGTAAGTGTTAAGGAAAATGGTACATTAAGTGCTATACATGTTGAGTTTAGCTATCTGAGGTCACATCCATTACACAACAGAAGATGGACTACCAGAGAAAGAGAGATGCTTGGATATGCTGCCAACTAATTGTGAGCTCCATGAAAGTAGAAATAAAATCCTTTTATCATTATCTATAAACCCAAACACAGCACACTTCATGTAGTAGATGCTAAGAACATGGCTGTTGATAGGGGAGATACCTGATCATGCTAATAAAATGTCTAGAACCAATGGAACAGAACAGAGGCCTCAGAAATAACACTACACATCTACAACCATCTGATCTTTGACAAACCTGACAAAGGAGAAAGGATTCCCTATTTCATAAATGGTGTTGGGAAAACTGGCTAGCCATATCCAGAAAACTAAAACTGGACCCCTTCCTTACACCTTATACAAAAATTAACCCAAGATGGATTAAAGACTTAAACATAAGACCTAAAACCATAAAAACCCTAGAAGAAAACCTAGGCAATACTATTCAGGACATAGGCATTGGCAAAGACTTCATGATTAAAACACCAAAAGCAATGGCAACAAAAGCCAAAATTGTCAGATGGGATCTAATTAAACTAAAGAGCTTCTGCACAGCAAAAGAAACTATCATCAGAGTGAACAGGCAACCTACAGAATGGAAGAAAATTTTTGATATCTATCCATCTGACAAAGGGCTAGTATCTAGAATCTACAAAGAACTTAAACTAATTTACAAGAAAAAAAACCATGTCAAAATGTGGGCAAAGGATATGAACAGACACTTTTAAAAGAAGACATTTAAGAAGACATTTATGCAGTCAACAAACATATGAAAAAAAATCAAGGTCATCAGAGAAATGCAAATCACAGCCACAATGAGATACCATCTCACACCAGTTTGAATGGCGACCATTAAAAAGTCTGGAAACAACAGATGCTGGAGAGGATGTGGAGAAATAGGAAAGGTTTTACATTGTTTCTTGGAGTGTAAATTAGTTCAACCATTGTGGAAGACAGGGTGATGATTCCTCAAGGATCTAGAACTAGAAATACCATTTGACCCTGCCATCCCATTACTGGGTATATACCCAAAGGATTATAAATTATTCTACTATAAAAACACATGCACACATATGTTTATTGCAGCACTATTCACAATAGCAAAGACTTGGAACCAACCCAAATGCCCATCAATAATAGACTGGATAAAGAAAATGTGTCACATATACACCATGGAATACTACGCAGCGATAAAAGAGGATGAGTTCGTGTCCTTTGCAGGGACATGAATGAAGCTGGAAACCATCATTCTCAGCAAACTAGCACAGGAACAAAAAACCAAACACTGCATGCTCTCACTCATAAGTGGGAGCTGAACAATGAGAACACATGGACACAGGGAGGGGAACATCACACACTGAGGCTTGTCAGGGAGTGGGGGGCTAGGGGAGGGATAGTGTTAGAAGAAATACCTAACATAGATGATAGGTTGATGGGTGCAGCAAACCACCATGATACGTGTATACCTATGTAACAAACCTGCAGGTTCTGCATATGTATCTCAGAACTTAAAGTATAATAAAAGAATTTAAAAAATTAAAATATCTTTCAGACATTTCTGATTTGAAAACAGTCTCTTTGGGATAAATGTCTAGTTGAAGGGTTTATCTCTTTGTTAAGCGATATCCCCTCCTCCTCTTTCCAATTTTGCATTTGGGTTCAGAAACGGTATATATCTATGTGGCTTAGATGGGAAGCATTGCCCAGTACTATGCCTTCCTCTAGGTCTTGATATGTCTGCTGAACTATGTCCGGGCCCATTTAGTCCCTGGGTGTCTTTCACTCATCTCTGCTGAATTGGGACTGTTCCATGTGGCCACTTGAGCATCATTCTGGCACTGTTGTAGGTACCATGATCTCAGGCTACCAAGGTGATACAACCTCCTCATCCCTATCAAAGGCATCTTGTATTTCCTTCCAGCACATCCCCTGCCTCTTAGAGATAATTCCCTTGGAATTCTCAGTTGCTTCCTCTGCATCATTCTAAAGTGTGCTAGATCCAGTGAAGCTGTCATCAAGCCTAATGGCTTAGCTCGCCTCCCTCTGTTTTTGTTACTCAGTCATTCCCACATCGTGATGGACATGATAGTGTTAAATGCAGATATCTCTGAGATTCAGGAAGGCTTTCTTGAACTGTACCTTTGCAACCCTGAATCCTCCAAATTTATCTGAATATTTTAAAACAGACTGCTAGTTTTCTTATTGTCTCTCTGTGGATTTTTAAATGTCATATTTGAGCAATGGCTTCACAGTGACTTCTTGGTTGTAGACAGAATCTTTTATTTCCTTCCTTAAAGCAATAAGCATAGGTCTCATGACTTGGCCTTAAGGATAGAAGACTGCAGAGAAAGCAAAGGAAATATTTGAGAAAGAAAAATTTATTGAAAGCCATTTCAAAAGCACCATTTGTTTCTAAAATAAAAGGGTTGAAGACAAGAGCATGAATGAGAGTAGAAAGAATGAGAATAAGAAAGAATAAAGGTTGAGGACTGAAGTTGAGGAAGACTACAAAGCAGGATATGGAGAGGATGAGGAGACAGAGCAGACTCTGAAAAACAATTATTGAGCCAGGAGAATAACCCAGTGCTCACAGCACCCAAGTCCATAGGAGGACAGAACTTACCAAAGAGGAGATAAGCAAAAAAGCAAAAAAGTGAACAGATCAAGGAGAATGGAGATCCAAAAGGGAAAAGTGTACAGTAACTGTTAACATTTGACAGGTCAGAGTTAAGAGTAGAATTTGTATTAGAATCCAGAGAAATTTCAGGAAATACTTCACAGTAGAATATTGCTTTCAATATTATTGGAAGCTATTACACACACACACATACACACACGCACACACACATACACACATACACTCAATATTTACTTTTGTTATTATCCCTATGTAAACATTACTGGTATATGGCCACCCTACTAAAGTATATTTTGTGTAGGTATGTGTGTGTGTGAGAGAGAGAGAGTGTGTACATGCATGTGCGGGTAAAACTCATTCTCAAGTATTTTCTGTACATGTTATATAATTCTCCTTTTAAAACACACCAAAATTATTGCGATTTCAGCAGATGGTCATCTCAGTTCTTATCATAGAGTTCCAAGGCTAGAAGAATGTTATTGTTCTAATAAGCTACTAAATAAAGCAATAATTTTGATTTTTCAAGAGTTGCTAAGCTTTAAGTAAGAGACAAATGTCAATTTTAGAATTGAAATTAAGGCTTATGTTATAAAAACAATGTATTAATTCCACAGAGAACTTATGAGGTAGTAGATTATATACCACCACATGTATCCAAAATTCATTTCATTAGATACTCAAGGAATTGAATTTTATACTTTAAATAACTTATTGGTCACTGCAAAATTCATTAATAATTATACTTTTTCAGTTAAATATTTCATCATAAAAATATATTCAATAAGGCAGGCAGATTATACTTTTCCATATATGATAGGTATCAAAATATCTCTGTGGTACTTTTTTTTAGTACACCTATTAAAATGGCCCAAATGAAAAAAAGTGCCTGAACAGCAGAATGATCAACCTGACAAATACTAAACTAAAAAGACTCATGAGTTCTAGACAAAGAGACTACAGGCAAGATATTTAAGCTTTTTGAGCCCATTTCTCAATCTATACATTTATCTGAAATCTATAAAGATTTAGAATAATGAGAGGCATAACTCATATGCTAGGCTAAGATATGGTGCATAAATCTTAAGTGGTAAGATGCTACCCTTTTATCATGTATTTAAATGTTTCATGTTTTATAAAAATATAAAACATGAAATATAGTTTAGTAATAGAATGGAGAATCAGCAAAAGATTCGTAGATTCATTCAGATTCACTTTCTCGCTTTCAACACAATGTAATCATTTCAGCAGGCCATTCTGTTGATATATGTTCTGAGTATACAGAATATCAATGAAATTCCTGTGTTAGATTTTACAAAAGTAAAAATCGAATCCATGCAATTCATTCTTTTCTCACTTATTTAATGTCTAAATAAAAGCTCATCCCCCTGATCAACAGAATGACTGGAACTGTCAACCTCATTTCTTTTACCAAAATTTAATAAAGCCCACATGAGGCTACATAGTGACAAACAAAACCGAGATTTAGAACAGAAAGTGTATTTGAGGGTAAAACAGCTTATCAAAGGCTTGGCACATTCTCGAGTTATCAGATACAGAGGAAGATCCTGATACCAAATCAGGCAAACAATAAAAGCACATAAGATTTGCAGACTGATATCATCTACTTTACTGACCTGTTTACGCTTCAAGAAAAGGACTAACATTTCTGAGGTTGAATGAGGCTGAAAAGAAAGAATAAAAAGTTTGGTGACCATGGCAGCTGATGAGGGCATGCATTGCTGTCAGTAAATGCCATTGGCTGATATCTTCCATGCAAAGTGATGCATTGGTCCTGCAGAATCACATTTAATGCAGAAACCAGCACATGAGGGCACAGAGTTTGGCTCTTACATTATTACTTTTTAAAAGAAAATAAAATAGAAACTTAATTTTACAGACCTCTCATTGACGCTCCCTGAACTTAAATAATTAAACATTAGTGTGTGATTTTAAAAAGTGGCTTTTTTTCTTTTTTTTTAAGTCCCTAGGGTCCCAAGGGGTGAAAACAGTCACATATTTTGTTAGAAAAGTGGCTTGCAACTAACATGCTGCTTTCCCCAGAAATAACTGGTATGTGGGGAAAACACAATGAAGCACATATTAATAATGTAAAAGCTAGGTTTTAAAAAGACTCCAACTTTCAACAGATAGTTAACAATTTGCTTCTACATTATCAGACAAAAATCTAGGAAGGAATTCAGATGCATCTTTTCAATCCATCAGATAATATTCATGAACCTATTTTGCATATCGACCGGAGCTTTGTCACATTATGGTCTCTAAAAATCATCATTTTTACAAGGTTGTTTTCCTCTCCTTTCAAGCCTTGTCTTTGATTTCTTATTCTCTCCACAAATAAAAACATTGTATTCCACCAAAGCCTTGCAAATCTCCAGATTGTTCCAGAAATGTTTCTCTGTGGAGCTGTTTTTTTTTTCTTCTTGAAATAATGGGTGGTTCAATAACTAGCTTTGTTTGTTTGCTTGCTTGCTTATTTTCATAATATGCTTGAGTGAGTCTTCATATTAAAACCACTTGAGTTTCCCCTTTCCTCTGAACTTTCCTTTCCTGCAACTCTTTTTTTATTGTGTCTCTGTATGTCCAGCTAAAGTATTACAGGTGAGAGAAGATGGGAGAACAGTCTATAATCCCCCAAGGTGAGAGAAAGGGGAAGCTCAGGTGCCTTTGGTATGAAGAATCGCTCAAGTGTGTTATGAAAACAAACAAATATGAAGAATCATGTAGGAACAATTTATTTCAATTTATCCCAGGTCACAACTAGCAACACAATTTGCAGGGTCTAGTGCAAAACGAAAATGTGGATTGGGAGCAAGATGGCCGAATAGGAACAGCTCCAGTCTCCAGCTCCCAGCATGAGCGACACAGAAGACTGGTGATTTCTGCATTTTCAACTGAGGTACCGGGTTCATCTCACTAGGGAGTGCCAGACAATTGGTGCTGGTCAGCTGCTGCAGCCCGACCAGTGAGAGCTGAAGCAGGGCAAGGCATCGCCTCACCTGGGAAGCACAAGGGGGAAGGGAATCCCTCTTCCTAGCCAGGGGAACTGAGACACACAACACCTGGAAAATCGGGTAACTCCCACCCCAATACTGCACTTTACCAAGGGTCTTAGCAAACAGCACACCAGGAGATTATATCCCACACCTGGCCGGGAGGGTCCCATGCCCGCAGAGCCTCCCTCATTGCGAGCACAGCAGTCTGCTATCTAACGGCAAAGCAGCAGTGAGGCTGGGGGAGGGGTATCCACCGTTGCTGAGGCTTAAGTAGATAAGCAAAGTCGCTGGGAAGCTCGAACTGGGTGGAGCCCATAGCAGCTCAAGGAGGCCTGCCTGTCTCTGTAGACTCCACCTCTGGGGACAGGGCACAGTTAAACAAAAAAAAAAAAAGCAGCAGAAACCTCTGCAGATGCAGACAACCCTGTCTGACAGCTTTGAAGACAGCAGTGGATCTCCCAACACGGAGGTTGAGATCTGAGAATGGACAGACTGCCTGCTCAAGTGGGTCCCTGACACCTGAGTAGCCTAACTGGGAGACATCTCCCACTAGGGGCAGACCGACACCCCACACCTCACACGGCAGGGTACACTCCTGAGACGAAGCTTCCAAAGCAAGAATCAGACAGTAACACTCGCTGTTCAGCAATATTCTATCTTCTGCAGCCTCTGCTGCTGATACCCAGGCAAACAGGGTCTGGAGTGGACCTCAGGCAATCTCCAACAGACCTACAGCTGAGGGTCCTGACTGTTAGAAGGAAAACTAACAAACAGGAAGGACACCCACACCAAACCCCATCAGTACGTCACCATCATCAAAGACCAAAGGCAGATAAAATGACAAAGATGGGGAAAAAGCAGGGCAGAAAAGCTGGAAATTCAAAAAATAAGAGCGCATCTCCCCCTCCAAAGGAATGCAGCTCATTGCCAGTAATGGATCAAAGCTGGATGGAGAATGACTTTGACGAGTTGAAAGAAGAAGGTTTCAGTCCATCAAACTTCTCAGAGCTAAAGGAGGAATTACATGCCCAGCACAAAGAAACTAAAAATCTTGAAAAAACAATGGAAGAATGGATAACTAGAATAATCAATGCAGAGAAGGCCATAAATGAACTGACAGAGATAAAAACCATGACAAGAGAAATACGTGACAAATGCACAAGCTTCAGTAACCGACTTGATCAACTAGAAGAAAGAGTATCAGCGATTGAGGATCAAATGAATGAAATGAAGTGAGAAGAGAAGTCTAAAGAAAAAAGAGGAAAAAGAAATGAACAAAGCCTTCAAGAAGTATGGGATTATGTGAAAAGACCAAATCTACGTCTGATTGGGGTGCCTGAAAGTGAGTGGGAGAATGGAACCAAGTTGGAAAACACTCTTCAGGATATCATCCAGGAGAACTTTCCCAACCTAGTAAGGCAGACCAACATTCAAATTCAGGAAATACAGAGAATGCCACAAAGATACTCCTTGAGAAGAGCAACTCCAAGACACATAATTGTCAGATTCACCAAAGTTGAAATGAAGGAAAAACTGTTACAGACAGCCAGAGAGAAAGGTCGGGTTACCCACAAAGGGAAGCCCATCAGACTAACAGCAGATCTCTCGGCAGAAACTCTACAAGCCAGAAGAGATTGGGGGCCAATACTCAACATTCTTAAAGAAAAGAATTTTAAACCCAGAATTTCATATCCAGCCAAACTAAGTTTCATAAGTGAAGGAGAAATAAAATCCTTTACACATAAGCAAATGCTGAGAGATTTTGTCACCACCAGACCTGCCCTACAAGAGACCCTGAAGAAAGCACTAAACATGGAAAGGAACAACCGGTATCAGCCATTGCAAAAACATGCCAAAATGTAAAGACCATCAATGCTAGGAAGAAACTGCATCAACTAACGAGCAAAATAACCAGTTAATATCATAATGACAGGATCAACTTCACACATAACAATATTAACCTTAAATGTAAATGGACTAAATGGTCCAATTAAAAGACACAGACTGGCAAACTGGATAAAGAATCAAGACCCATCAGTCTGCTGTGTTCAGGAGACCCATCTCACATGCAGAGACACACATAGGCTCAAAATAAAGGGATGGAGGAAGATCTACCAAGCAAATGGAGAACAAAAAAAAGCAGGGGTTGCAATACAAGTCTCTGATAAAACATACTTTAAACCATCAAAGATCAAAAGAGACAAAGAAGGCCATTACATAATGGTAAAGGGATCAATTCAACAGGAAGAGCTAAGTATCCTATGTTGGGGTCCGTGCCGGGGGTGGTGGAGAATGAAAGAACACACAAAAGACAAAGACACACAGAGAACATGGCGGCCGCGCTCAGAGCCTCTGCCTCACTTTATTTATACTCCATAAACCCCACCTCAGCAGAAAGAATGCAATGCAAAACAAACTTTCTTTTCCCAGATGTAACCTTCTACTCAGTTCTTTGTTTCTATGCTCTTCCTTATCTGCCCGCCTTCTTGGCGCCTACGGGAGTTCATTAAAAGTTCAATTGGAGATACTGTCCTTGAGCCCTATCTATTCTCAGCATACTGTTTTCAAAGGCCCCTGCATTTCCCCCCCCCCTTTTTTTTTGTTTTGCCTCAATCCTAAAAAGGTAGCCCATATTTGTTCTTGTGTTTTCTTTTGTGTTTGGAGGCGATGGAGGGAGCATCGAATCACCAAAAGAAGTAGACCCAATCCAAGTGCCCAAAGCAATATACTTCCAGAGATTGTAGAAATCCATGTCTTCATCTGGGTCCATGGGTTAAAGGCAGCAAGGCACTGACCCAGCTCCTGAAGGGTTACAGTTCCGGACAGCACATGTAATTGTTGTCGAAATGCTTCGGAAATGTTCTGAGTGAGCTCTTGGATGTCCAAACTAATATTTTTATGGCCTATTAATAATTTTTGGATTACAGTCCAATTTTGAGAGATGTTAAAAAGCACAGGCGTTACACAAAATTGAGTGGAGTTCCAATCACATTGTAATGTTATCCGAGTACTGAGGACAGTGAGCTGATCTCCAAGCCATGTCAAGGCTTGTTCCATGTTGTCCAATCTTTCAGCAAACTGAGAATCAATGTTTCGTTGTTGAAGCCATAACCGGTGAGATTGTTCGTGCCATTGCTGCACAAATTCAGCATTTTGTATGCTTTGATGAAGAGCGAGCCCTACTATGGCCGCAGTGGAGACGATGGCAACAAGGCTCATCACCGAGGTAATTATAAGTCCAAGGGCACGGAGGGTTCGCTGGAGAGAAGTCCAAATATAAGTCTCAAGAGGTGATGCCCCCCAAGGTTGCGTAAGGTTAACAGGTAGCCAAATTTCCTTACGAGCCCTGAGGATATAAATATCCTCAGTAAAGTTGTGCCACCAGGAATGATTGAGGCAAGACAAAAATGTACACGTATCTGTACAATTAACAATCCCCGTATCATTATCCCATGTCAAATTCCCTGCTAATAATAGGTAGGGCTTACGGACACAAGCAATAATATATCAGGAGGTATTTCGATATAACTGAATATGAAAGGAGTTATTCGGGTTAGAAAGATTAAGGGGCATATTCCCCACAAAAGTGCTAATGGCATCGCCTGCAGCTAACAACTTCCAAAAATAACTCTGTACTTCAGGCCTCCTTCACGCCATACCAAGGTTTCATTACTGTTAGCAGCAATACTTTCATTTACCCAGTGTCATTTCAAAGGTATGTGACTAAATTTTGTTTGAAAGTCACCGTGCACACTTCAATCAGTTATTTGCATCCCATTGTATTCTAATAAAATCTGGGGTTTAGTTCCCCGACATTGTTGTCACTCCAGCACCTCAATATTAGGAGAAACCTCTAGAATAGGACAAAAAAGTAAAGAACTATGAATAGTTTCATTACTATATACAGTATGATTATATTAAAAACTTCTAGTTACAATAATAACAGTATTAGCAGCCACATGACTATGATTATAATGAACAGCCCAGGCTTCATGCGATCTTCGGAGACAATGAGAACTATTTCCCATACATATTGGAACTCCTTCCACTCCAAATTGATATGTGTTGTTTATAATTCCCATTTCCCGTTCTATATTGTCCTTGTCTATATAGGGGGACGGCATCCAAGTAGTGTCATTGGTGAAAACCTTAATTTCCGCCTCCCCCCAGGTGACTCCCTGATACAAGGGTGGAAAGGGAATATAAGTCCAATATTCATACAAAGCCTCACTAAGAGAAATAAGTCCCCCACCGAGGCACATCCAACAAAGGAAGAAATGCATGCTGAATCCAGTTTTCTTTTCAACAGGGTTTCAATCATCTTGTAGGAAACCACTCAGGTCCGCTCCCTGTAAGGACAAGAGCATAGCCCCGTCCCTGTTTTAGAACTTGCCCTTGAACATACTTACCTTCTTCATTAGGATACCAAACCTTTAAACTGTCAGCGGGGACTATCACCGAGGGAGGTGAGGAAAGATGGGTTACGGCAGCGGAATCTTGCAATTGTCTCCATTGATTCAAAAAAATTAAGGTAAAAAGAACCTTCAAAATCTGGTTTCAAAATCTGGTTTCTGGGGGGCTCATTTCCCCCTTTTTGTTTTGTTTTAATAGTTAAGTTTTTAAAGTTAAATTTGCGTGCTCAATGATGGCTTGACCTTGACTGTTGCCCGGGATACCGGTGATATGTTGAATATTGCATTGCTGTAAGAAAACTTGTAATTTATGAGAGACATAAGCAGGGGCATTATCAGTTTTAAGT